ATGATGATGATGATGAAGATGATGATGGGGGATGGGTGGTGATGACGATGATGATGACGATGATGATTATGATGAAGATGACGATGATGATGATGATGACGATGATGATGACGATGACGATGATGAAGATGACGATGATGATGGTGTTGTGCCCCTCCCGCAGACCCCTCCTCGCGCCGCCTGTTCTGGGCAGTGGGGGATGGGTGATGATGATGATGATGATGACGATGATGATGATGATGGTGATGATGAAGGGTGATACCCCCCCTCCCCCAGACCCCTCCTCTGGCCGCCTGTTCTGGGCAGTGGGGGATGGGTGATGATGATGGTGACGATGATGATGATGGTGATGATGATGATGATTGATGATGATGGGGATGATGATGATGGTGTTGTGCCCCTCCCGCAGACCCCTCCTCGGGCCGCCTGTTCTGGGCAGTGGGGGATGGGTGGTGATGATGATGGTGATGACGATGATGAAGATGATGATGATGATGATGGTGATGATGGTGACGATGACGGTGATGATGATGATGACGATGATGATGATGATGATGAAGGGTGATACCCCTCTCCCGCAGACCCCTCCTCGCGCCGCCTGTTCTGGGCCGACGGGCGGCTGCAGGCCGTGAGCAGCGTGGGGCTGGACGGGCGCGACCGCCGCACGCACCTGAGAGACCCCCGGCACCTGGGGCAGCCCCTGGGGCTGGCTGCCTTCCGGGTGAGACCCCCGGGACCCCCGGGACCCCCGGGACCCCCTGGGACCCCCCCAGACCCCCAGGGACCCCCGGGACCCCCCCAGAGATCCCCAGGGACCCCCAGAGACCCCCGGCACCTGGGGCAGCCCCTGGGGCTGGCCGCCTTCCGGGTGAGACCCCCGGGACCCCCGGGACCCCCTGGGACCCCCCCCTGCGGCCCCTCCCAGCCGGGGTCCTCTGGGATCCCGATAGCCAGGGGGTCTCTGGATTCACTCACTGGGATCGGCCCTGACCGGCATCCCCGGTAATTAGCAGCCTGTTAATTGGGGTGGCTGGTGATGGGAGCTGGCAGCTGACTGCAGTTGTGCCAGCTGGGATTGTCACCAACTGGGATTGTCCCTGACTGGGATTGTCACTGACTGGGATTGTCCCTGACTGGGATGTTCCCTGACTGGGATTGTCACTGACTGGGATTGTCCCTGACTGGGATGTTCCCTGACTGGGATTGTCCCTGACTGGGATTGTCCCTGACTGGGATCCCTAAAATATCCTAAAAACATCCTAAAAACACCCCTAAAATATCCTAAAAATATCCTAAAAACACCCCTAAAATATCCTAAAAATATCCTAAAAACACCCCTAAAATATCCTAAAAATATCCTAAAAACACCCCTAAAATATCCTAAAAATATCCTAAAAACACCCCTAAAATATCCTAAAAATATCCTAAAAACACCCCTAAAATATCCTAAAAATATCCTAAAAACACCCCTAAAATATCCTAAAAATATCCTAAAAACACCCCTAAAATATCCTAAAAATATCCTAAAAACACCCCTAAAATATCCTAAAAATATCCTAAAAACACCCCTAAAATATCCTAAAAATATCCTAAAAACACCCCTAAAATATCCTAAAAATATCCTAAAAACACCCCTAAAATATCCTAAAAATATCCTAAAAACACCCCTAAAATATCCTAAAAATATCCTAAAAACACACCTAAAATATCCCCGAAAATATCCCAAAAATACCCCAAAAATGTACCCCGACAGGCAGCCCCGAGGTACCCCAAAAACACCCCTAAATACCCCCAAAACACCCCTAAAATATCCTAAAAATATCCTAAAAACACCCCTAAAATATCCTAAAAATATCCTAAAAACACACCTAAAATATCCCCGAAAATATCCCAAAAATACCCCAAAAATGTACCCCGACAGGCAGCCCCGAGGTACCCCAAAAACACCCCAAAAACACCCCGAAAACACCCCTAAAATATCCTAAAAACACCCCTAAAATATCCTAAAAATACACAAAAAATATCCCCAAAACCACTCCTAAAATATCCTAAAAATGTCCTAAAAACACACCTAAAATATCCCCGAAAATATCCCAAAAATACCCCAAAAATGTACCCCGACAGGCAGCCCCGAGGTACCCCAAACACCCCAAAAACACCCCAAAAACACCCCAAAACCAGCCCAAACACCCCAAAACCACCCCAAACACCCCAAAAACACCCCAAACACCCCAAAAACACCCCAAAAACACCCCGAAAACACCCCAAAAACACCCCTAAAACACCCCGAAAACACCCCAAAAACACCCCTAAAATATCCTAAAAACATCCTAAAAACACACCTAAAACATCCTAAAAACACCCCTAAAATATCCTAAAAATATCCCGAAAATATCCCCAAAAACACCCCTAAAATATCCTAAAAATATCCTAAAAACACCCCTAAAATATCCTAAAAATATCCTAAAAACACCCCTAAAATATCCCCAAAATATCCCAAAAATACCCCAAAAATGCACCTGGAGAGGCAGCCCCGAGGTAACCCCAAAACACTCCAAAAACATCCCAAAAACACCCCAAAACCACCCCTAAAATATCCTAAAAATATCCCAAAACCACCCCTAAAACATCCCCCCAAAACACCCCAAAATATCTTGAAAATCACCCCAAAACCACACTTAAAATATCCCCAAAAACACCCCAAAAACATTCTCCAAATATCCTAAAAATGTCCCCAAAATCACCCAAAAATCACCCCAAAAAATCCCGAAAATATCCCCAAAATATCCCAAACCCGGCCCCAAAACGCCCCCGCCTGTGCCCCTCC